GGGGGGAGCTGCACAGTGATCTCCCACCTCTGTGCAGCCAGTGGTCTCCGCTCCACAATGCCATGCTGGAGCCTCCACATTTATTGACAAATAAAATTTGCATTATTTTAAAATATTGTGTGCAGAATTTTTATGTTTTTTGGCGCAGAATTTTTATGTTTTTTGGCGCAGAATGCCCTCAGGAGTAGCTGTATATCGCAATGTCTTCATCCATTGTGGGGGTGGAGCGGGGCAGCTGTTTAACACCCCACAGCAGCACGGCGCAGTGGCTTAGGGCACAAAGTGAAACGGAGCCATGTAGCCATCTGCCGCTACAGGAGCAATTTTACACTTTTAATGACCAGACTGGGGCAGAAAATGGATTTCCCACCCCACACACATTTTCAAGAGATCGAAAAATGTTCTTGTCTCGAACTGAGATGAAAAGTCAAAATTTTCTTGAATCAAAAATCATGTTTGGTTTGGGTAAAAGGCCGCATTTTGGTTTAATAATTTTGGGATGTTTCCTTTCTATTTTGACCACATAAAATGAAGATAATGTGAAACTGTAAAATTTTGTTCAACTATAATTAGCTTAAATGTCTGAGCAAGACGTCATTTTGAACTCGAGAACTGGAACTTTTCATTTTGCAATTCTGAAACTTTTTTTCATGTAAAAAAAGTCATCAAAACGGACCCTTTTCCCTTGGAAAAAAAAATTTCCATTTCAACAAGTGGACATTTTCTGACAAAGAAATGTTTCCTCTAAAGATTCCTGACCAGCTCTAGTGATCACCCAAATGGGAAGTTGTTCTCGTCTTGCTGAAAGCATCCTCAGTGATTGCAAGTCACCATTCATTCAAGACCTCAGTTTGAAGGCTCAGTGAAAATCTGGTGCCTCCTGCAGCCCCGTTCGGTTCAGTATGTAGGGAAACATGAGATCAGATTCTGGCCCTTAGTCATTCACTTGTTACTAGCACTCTGATTCACAGAAATGTCAGGGTAGAAGAGACCTTAAAAGATCATCAAGGCCCAGACCAAGTAAACCTAGACCATCCCTGACAGGTATTTGTCCAGCCTGTTCTTAAAAACCTCCAATGACGGGGATTCCACAACCTCCCTTGGACGCCTGTTCCAGAGCTGAACTAACCTTAGCGGTAGAAAGATTTTCCTAATATCTCCCCTAAATCTCACTTGCTGCAGATTAAGACCATTACTTTCTGTCCTTCCAGTGGGCAGGGAGAACAGTTGATCACCGTCCTCTGTGAAACACCCCTTATCATATGTGTGTGTAACAAGTCGCATGTAACACATTTGTTGTGTCATCCTTCAAAAGAAACACAGACGCTAAGTGGGATAGAAAGGACCAGATTCTGCTCTCAGAGACACCGGTGTCAATCTGGAGTAACTCCACAGACTGCAACAGAGCTCCTCCAGGTTTACACTGCTGCAAACCAGAGCAGAATCTGGCCTAAAGCATTTAAGAGATCACCTTTCTTATTACACAATAAGATGATTTCGATGCATTGACCAGGTAAAAGAGGCAACACAAACATCACTAATTGCATTTCCATCACTTTTTAATGAGGACAGAATGACAGCTTGAACAACAACAAGTTGTGATGTAAACAGGCAGCGTGTGCAGGCTCAGGCACCAGGAGAGCTGCAGTCATTGATAATGTGTTATTATCGTTAGATGGTGCAGAAGGGCTGGCACATGGGCCTCTGTGAATCTCGCCCGTGGGCTGGCACATGGGCCTCTCTGAATCTCGCCCTTGGGGAAAAGCAGCAGACTCTAGAGAGTGTTTCTCAACCTTTTGGATACCAGGGACCGGCTTGCTGCCTTCCTAAACTGTGTCAGGAAGATCTCAGGGACCAGCGCCGGACCATGGACTGGTTGTTGATAAACACTGCTCCAGAGGAAGCACTGGAATAGCAGCTCCAGCCCTAGCCTGGGGAGAGATTCTCATCCCTCCCAGTTCCTGCATCCATCCTCCCCCTTCACAATCCCACTGCACGTCCATGTAACATTACAGCTGAGGATCAGGGGAGCTGGGAGCTGTGGCATATACAGGGGCTGCAGGTCTCCTCTGCAGGCTCCTGCCGTCCGGCCTCTCTCTGTGCAGGGAAGCTGCAGCTGTTCAGCTGTGTCCGGGTCCCTCTGCAGATGCGCAGAGGATGATGATTGTGTTACCATAGCACCCAGGAGCCCCGGTTATGGACCAGGCCCCTCTGTGCTAGGTGCAGCACAAACACAGAACAAAGAGACAGTCCCTGCCCCAAAGAGCTTCCAATTGAATACACAAGTGATGGGTGAAGTCATCTACACCCTGATGCCTTTATATCCCAAAAAGAGATTTCCCACCTGACGAGGCTGGACTCTGTGGGGATCTTCTGACCTTTTTATTCTAAACAGAGAAGTGGAGAAACTAAAAAAGAAAGGAGACGGAGACAGACAGAGCCTTCTTCCAGCTGCTACATCTGATACACATCAGTTCCCACGTGTGGATTCCCCTGCATTAGACAGTTCAGGGTTTTAGATGTTTCCCTCTGGCTGATCGCTGCATCGTGCGCCCCTTGCGATTCCGCGAATCAAAATCCAGATGAGCGTATAAGATTCCACCCTGTTTGGCGACAATTAGTAAAATGAGCCCCCTCCTTGTAAAATGAAGGGATACAGGGTGAGACAGAACCGAACATCCAAGTGAGTTTAGCCTGATGAAAAATTCCCTCTCATCTCCAATTCTCCTGCTTGTCCTATAAACTGTGTGTGTTTTTTAAATGGAAACCAGCGCTGGATTCTGACTTTAAGAACTCACCTGCTGAAAATATTTGGCCAGATGCAAACCCCATATAAATGGACAGTGTCCTATAAAGGTCAGTAAGCTTTGGATCAGGCCCATATCACCTTTCACTGGAAAATCTTCATGTGCTTTACAAATATAATTTCTTATAGCTCTTTATCTTTTAAATGCCAAAAATGTTCCCAGCTGCACACAAAACCCCTGTAAAGGGCACAGTCAGAACCAATAAAACATCAAACTTCCCATCATCCTTACACAGTAAGTCTTGTTATCCACTCTTTACACATGGGGAAACTGAGTCACCGAAGAGTAAGTGACTTGCCCACTATCCCACAGTAAGTTAGTAGCACAGCTCACAGTAGGACTCCGTCCTCCCCCCCTGCTACTCCAACAGCTAGACCTCACTTTCACTTCGTCCTTCCAGATCAATCAGCTTAGGTGCCGAACACATGAAGTTGATGGATTAGAAATGCCTGAGACAGACACAGTGATTTAGACAGAGATAGTTTGCAAAGAGCCGTACCTGGTGCTCCTCTGAAGCTGGGGGTGCTGAGATCCTGGGCTGGAATCCTGGAACAAACAAAGACAACAGTAAAAGTTCCTCTTCCACGGTCACTCCCCCAGCTGTAGTTCATTGACTAATGGTGCATCCGAGCTGTGGGTGCGCAGGGCACCACCATGCATGGTACATGGAGAGAGGCTCATCAGAAAGGCTACTGTTCTTTGTGAACTATAGACCAGGTGCCTGGGCCATGGGCAGTAGAAGCCTTTCTACATCGCTCCCTTTGTCACGGAGAACAAAGCCGTTCTCCCGACACAGGAAATTCAAGTTTCAGAAAACAAACATTCTGAGATCAGTGCTGGTAGTTGTGACATTTGCAGCATGTTCATGTGTTGGACGGCACAGTAGCAAGCAGGGGAGTAGGATTTCTCTCTGCGGGAGAGTGTCTGGGCTGGGCTGTGTTTCTTACCTAGAGTGGAAGGGCAGAGGGTCCATACGAGGCTCAGAGACACCAACAGCAGCAGCAGACCAGCACCAGCCGCAAGGGGCATGATGTAATGTGAGCACTTGCTAGCAAAGGCAGTGGAGGAAGCTAAAAAACAGACACAAGTGGCTGATTTGGGTAAAGAGGGTCGTGATGCCACCACACCC